TGAAACTTCCCATGCATGTTATGGCAAGTATTGGCTATCATATGGTATAAGAAACTTGACCGGGTCAGGTCAGGTCACGGAGCTATGACGTCACAAGAGGAACAGCGTCCGGTACTATTTTTGAAAAGCGCCCGAACCACTATTTTGCTAATTCTTGTCACCTCAATGGGAATATGCAGCAATATTAGCTTCTATAGGGAGCAAATGGACCTTCCAAATCCAAAAATACAATCAGATTTCAAAAATTTAAATTTTGATTTTTCGAATTTCTGCCGCCGACTGTGACTTTGCCGACTTCCGGCGCTCCCAACGCGCCATTTTTAGAGCTAGGGAAACAAAATACATACCAAACGATAGAGAATTGATCAAGGAACACGATAGTGAAGGTTTCAAGTCGATATCTCCCACCGTTTTGCCGCAATCGCCGCGGAAAGTTGAAAAAAGTCTATTTTTCCGGAAATTTGACCTTTGACCGGTCAAAAGTAGGTCAAATGTGGACCTAGGACCCAAAAATATACCACCAATCGCGAGATCTCGGCGAGAGCAATCCGTTGGTCTTTTCCGCTAAGCTCTACGACGCTCCGTTTTCAAACGCCAAGGGGGGGTCGCACCACCCCCCCCCCCCCCCCCCCTGCATGGGCGAAGGTGGCAGATCGCCGTTTACGGGCGAGGGTTAAGTCACTAAAAATCTGTCTTTAAAGTAAAAGTTTATTCCTCGAGCTGAGACGCCAAAGTTGTACAGTTGGAGTAGGTACTTTAACACATCATGTAGGTATGTGTTGACATGCATGCATACATTCTCGAATTAAACATCAATAATACCCAGTACCCACTAAAGGCATATTGCTCTTTGGAACGTCGCTTTTGGTATGGCGATATCGTGGGTCTGAGCCAGCTGACATGGGTTACACCCCCTCAGTGGGGTTCTGGCATGGTCTGCGTTGGATCACCCACCACCACAATGGGCGGTTCCAGGTTCCTCAAAACCATCGTAATTCAGACCGGTGTGAGGCGGCGACGTGAGGCACGCAAGTGCGGGACCGTCCCCATGCCGTGGCGGTCCGGGTCAGGGGAGCAGCCCCCTCCCCGCGCGGCGGGCGGTCGCCCATTCATCCGCGACCCCAGCCCCATGACTGAGGGGTTGACAGAGGGCAAACATCACGTATTTAAACTGGGCAAACAGACGGTGCTCTACGCTAGGGACATCTCGCGGCTGTGATTCACGATACTGCTTCGCCAAACTGCCTTTAGATGGTGGGTCAGTCGGTGTCCGTCTGCTGCTGTGCGCCGAGAATTAGCCCTATAAATTACCATGAATTACACCTTCTAGTGTGACGATACAGTCACATTATCATATAGGTCGCGTTTAGATGCAAATGAAGAAACGACTGCGTTGAAAAAATATGTCATTTCATCGAACGCTGAAATGCTCGAAGTGCTCGCTAAAAAATGAACTCGCTAACTGAGCCCTCAAGGTCGGCTGCCGTGTTGCATTGCATTTAAGCCAAAAACGCGGGCTGGGTGTAAGTTGTCGCGAAACAATTTTTGGCCTGAAGTGTTCTCTAAAGTATTATCTACATAGATCCAGGGAACATATTTGCTATCTTTGATGGCTTAGGAGATATTGAATCGTAAGTCCTCCAGTGTACACTCGGGGGCAGATTGATGTTCTACAACTCTTTATCCACCGGGTTCCTATGGCTCAGCATTGGCAGCAGCCGCCTGGTACCGGTAGACTGTGCCGCTTCACTTACTTGTCAAGCGGCACAGCCTACCCACCCGTATGACACCGGTCTGGGTCGGTGGCTGGAAGGTGATGTGGGCCGCCTGTGACGTCAGCGCAGCGGTGAGGGCCGAGCCCGGAGGCATGGCTCGGGTCGGCGCGGTGCGGCGGCTGGCGAGGGCTGGGGAGTGAGGTGGGGTGGGAGCACGGACATCGCGTGGCTGAGCGAGTGTAGTTAACTTTTGCGTCTCAAGGCGCCAATTATTCTACCTAACAATTGTGCTAAAGCAGTTGTTAAAATGTCCTATCCCCAAGACAGCGCCTATCATCATACTTGCAATGCACATTACGACACACTTAAGCGTGGCAATGGGACAGCCGATAGAACTTACGTCACTCGTGCATCGAGGTGCGGAGTTATATTTTGTATAACATATTAGTATTAAGGCCTTGATTGAGCAGATTGGTGTCTATTGTTTCGCACGGCAATCGTCCAGAGACGTGGGAACTGGGGGTTATGAGTAGTGCCGCAGCCAACGCCCCAATTTAAAGCGATTATTACTGTTGCTCTAATATGTGGTCGCAGCCCCCAATAGCAAACCGTTCCAACTAGGAGCCTAAAAGTCGGCCACTCAGGGGGGTTCGAACCGGGCTTCTCCAACCGGCCAATTCACGACACGAGCGTTCATCCACTGAGCTACCGAGAATGGTCCTCGTCCGCACAAAACAAAATGACATTCACCCGCTGACCGCCAATGACAGTATTGTGACATTTGATCGCGTTTGACCGCGGCGGGTGGTCGCTGGTTCCGGCAGCTCAGTGGATACACGCTAGCGTCGTAGGGTGACCGGTTGGAGAAACCCGGTTCGAACCTTTCCAGGTGCGCGACTTATTTGTTCCTAGATGGAACGGTTTGCTATTGGTGGCTGCGACCACATATTAGAGGAACAGTAAGAGTTGCTTAAAGTTGGGACGCCGCGCTATCCAAAACCCCCAGCTCCCACGTCTCTGGACGATTGCTGTGCGAAATAATAGACACCAATGAGCTCAATCAAGGCCTTAATACTTATCTGTTAAAAACAATGCAGCTCCGCAACTCGATGCACGTGTGATATAAATTCTATCGGCTGTCCCAATGCCACGTTTAAGTGTGTCGTAATGTGCATGGCAAGTATGATGATAGGCGCTGTCTTGGGGATAGGACATTTTAACAACTGCTTTAGCACAATTGTTAGGTAGAATAATTGGCGCCTTGAGACGCGAAAGTTACTACACTCGCTCAGCCGCGCGATGGTCCGTGCTCCCACCCCACCTCACTCCCCAGCCCTCGCTAGCCGCCGCGCCGCGCCGACCCGAGCCATGCCTCCGGGCTCGGCCCTCACCGCTGCGCTGACGTCACAGGCGGCCCACATCGCCTTCCAGCCACCGACCCAGACCGGTGGCATACGGTGTGGGTAGGCTGTGCCGCTTGACAAGTAAGTGAAGCGGCACAGTCTACCGGTACCAGGCGGCTGCTGCCAATGCTGAGCCATAGGAACCCGGTGGCTAAAGAGTTGTAGAACATCAATCTGCCCCCGAGTGTACCCTGTTTTGCGGCGGCCCACGTGTTAAAAGCTGCTGAACATTTTTACTTTGACCAAAAAACGCGGGCACAGTTTTGTCTGTACGAAAATGACTTTTGTCCTATCGCATTCCACGTGGGCTGAAAATTCAGAAACCAGGGAACATATTTGCTACGACCAGTACTTTTCACGATTCAGACCGAAACGTGAAAAAATAGCCCCAAAACCCTATGGCGGGCACGTCTCCGCGGCGCCCGGCCGCGGGTCGCTAGTTCCCGAAACGACACACCATGATTGTGCCCAAATTTGGCACATCGCTAGAGACCGGTTAGTAGGGTGCCGTGCACAAGTCAGTTGGAGGTCCACCCTCGCAATTTCGCACGTGCAAGGCCCTTCCTCTCGCTCGCTCCGTTAGTCACCCCATAAGGCGTTATATTGGTAAATAAAGAAAACGTAAGGAGAAGTTACCTCCTAAAATTGATTTTATCAGCAAAAATCGTAATGGTATGCAAGCAAGCTGTATAATCGCTAAGCGATTCGCTTATAGTTGGTTGGTACTTTTGTTTGAGTTCACTGTTGTACCTATTTCAAGACCAGCAACCACAAATTATGTAAGCCTACACGCCCCATATTGTGATTAAATATTCAAAGCCGTCATCAACATAACATACCAAAATCCAGTTAATAAGCCTGTAAAAGGTAACTTCACCGTTGGAGCGCAAGCCAAGTCGGCGAACACCCCCTTACGTAACGATACCTGACGGCTACTGATAGCGAAGGGGATGGGTACATGATACATGTCACCAAAAGTATACTCATTGCAACACACACACACACACACACACACACACACACACACACACACACACACACACACACACACACACACACACACACACACACACACACACGTAGCCAACTGTGTCCATAACGTTGCCCGGCTCAGACCTCACTGCTCGCCGGCCGCCAGCGGTGGGGTCAGGGAAGGGGGGGTGAGGGTTAAATGTCGTCAATGGACCGCGTGCAGCACTCCCCTACATCGGCGGGCCAGGAAGGTACGCCAGCTCCCGTCGGGGAGTCCAGCGCGGACGGCCAGGCGGTCCTCCGACCAAGGAGGCTCCGCGCGTGGAGTGCGCCAGCCTGAATGGGTAGGTATACTTGTCTGCGCACACACAAACGCTCTTGATTGTAACTTTCCCAAAGGTAAGAGCTAATCTCCCATGGAAAAAGTGTCACGCTTGGTGGAACGAGTTTTGAATGAAAATATACACCACTTCATTCAGAATGAAAGAAATGGAATAAAAAATAATCAGAGCATTCAATTAATTTTGTTCGAAATCAAAAACAAAATATTTTGATGGTTAACCATAGGAAACCGCAATGGCTATTTCAAAACGATTTATTAATGAAACCTCTGGCGTTGAGTTTATTTCTTAAATTTATACCGAATTGCGTTTTCAGGTACGAGTTAGAGTAGGTAGGTATGTTCTTAGTTATTAGTATAAATTGCAGTTATAAACATTTTACCACTTGCACTGTCCATAATATCAACAACTGTTTGTATCCCTATGCCATCCTCTTAACGAAGACTTCCATTGGACCCTCGTCCTGTGCCACAGCTTATAATCAAAATCATTGCGGCCGCCATTTTTAGCTACAGACTGAGACAACAAAGCTCTGAACTTCCAACACTAGCCAGGAGGAAAATCCAGCCATGGCGACCATCAGCAACGAGCAGCCCCTGACAGATACAACGGTAAGAGATAGCAATATCAGAAAATAAGCTTCCGATGAAAATTGTATTTTGTTTTGGAAAACAAGCCTAAATTATCGAGAAAGAGTTTAAATCACGAGCCAGTATTAAAGCTGAATTTGAAATCGCATGCAGCAACTTAAAACAACACAGAAGTTCTTAGATGGCTGTCACACAACAATAAATGTCTATGCACATAACTAGTTATGTGCACTGGGCAATACCTACATACTTCAGTTCAGCGATCAATCCATCTCTTACCATGCCCGTTTGCCGCTCGTTAGTGATGTCAATTACGGAAAATTGGAATACCGATACCAAACCAAATACCAAACAAAACCACGGAAAAATACCGAAACCAAATTAACTTGGGAAACTGAGGGAAATACCAACTTTTTACCGATTTATTAGCCTCTTATACATCAGTGAGGGCTTATGATACCAACAAAATACCAAACACATTACGATTGAAATACCAAATACCAAGTTGGTATCGGTTTGGTATCGGTATACCAAAAAGTTGGTATCCGATTGACATCTCTAGCTCGTATGTCTACATTCACCTGTACTGTTATCAGTTGCCAATGCAGTACAATGCCAGCTAGATGATGACGAAATGTCCCTATCCCCAGTCAAGGCAGCCAGAAAAGCCGCCGCTGCCGCTTCCCACCCGGATTCTGCAGTTTCTGCTGAGCCAGTTCGGTCTCTTTCTGCTGGTGGCATTTGTGGCCGCGTTCGGTAAGCTATGTGATTACGTTCGGTATAGATAATTTGTGCCTGGTAAAAGTCTGGTTCTGCGTTCTTTAGTTCGTCAAATTGAGCCAAAGAACCACATGAGGGTGTTTTTTTTTTACATATGCAAAGAATAACTAATATATTATAGTATTTGTTCGGTAGGGGTGCTGTGCTTATCATAATAGCAGCATCACCTGAAACGCAATGTTTAGGCCCATATGTTGAACATTATTTTGTCATAGGAATAATTCAGAAAATAATTGCGTAAAAGCGTCCATGTCATACAAATTTACTCTACCACCAGAAATTGGATTCTTATAATTTTTTGATGTTGATGCTATAATTACTAGAACCAATGCGCCATGTTGATGATTGGATCTTGCATATTTATTGATGTTTTGAGCATAAAGATGTATTTCCAACAGCCCACAACTGACATGTATCCGCAATGAAAGGAGGGAATCGTGATTCAATTTATTTGGTCTGACAATTTAATCACTTAATTGCAGGCGCATGGATTTTTATGGAAATCGAACAGCCGCAGGAGGACGAAGCCTTTAAAATAATGTCACTGAAGCTAAAGGATTTTAAGGAGAGCGAAGACTATATCGTCGGATCTCTGTGGCTTCTTCGTGAGCAGAACATCACCGAGAAAAAGTTCGGTAAAAAGGTAAGGCTGCAGAAGTGGCAAATATGCGTGTATATTTGAATTATTCACGTCACGTAGGTATTATTTTTCCTTCGTTTCATGCCCTTCTAACCAAAATTTCGATACCTTCGTTCGTTCAATAATCATTGCCGCAATTTGACGTGTGGCAGCTATTATATCTTTCACATCCATTGCTCTTCATTTTCAATCATGGGAGTTACATTCGGCTGTCCGTTGGAACTTGGAAGCATGTCCCTGTTGGAAATTCCTGCTAAAAGCAATTAACAATTAACAGCGCGACACATCCTTGAAGCTCGAGGCTAGGCTCCTCTGGCAGGCTGGCTCTTTTGGTTTTTAAACTTTGGCAAGCAGAGCTAAAACACAACTGTGAAGCGAATTTGACCAAATCTGCACCAAATGTGAGCCAAATGTTTACCAGATGCCGTCTTGAAGACGGCCACTGTTCGCCTATTCCACTGTCCATGTTTATTTCAAAGACTGTAGATAAAGGATGATAAGCATATTGTCATGCTACTATTTATTATATAAAAAAGTATCTTAGGACGCCCGAAGACAGCAGAAAGGTGTTTAATTTAAAAGGAAGCATGTATCAAAAGCAAAGAAAAAAAGTGCAAAAGCATTTCAACTGAACTCAAAGAAGAAATAACTAGGTATGGAGGACAATCACTCGAGTCCTGACCATTTTGACAATTCAACGAACTATGAAAATTGCCTTTTCACAATGTATGTATTCTATGTAGCGAAGGAACGGCACAACTCGTAAAGGGCTGGCAGATGCTAATAATTTATGAAGTTCTATATTCAGGAACGCGGGTACCGCGGGGCTGCGGGGCTCAATGCTCATAGTTAGGGGGCCGTCATACCTGATATATAATGCATAAGTAGATATGTGAGGCGGCAACGATTATAACATGGGTGATTGCGCTTGTTCAGAATTGCAAACGGGCAGCGTGGTCCAATGTTTCTACGAACAACACATGTTGGAAAGGTGCACACATGATAAACGCTACCAAACGGACACCAGAAAGGGTTACTGGCTGACCTGCCGAGCAAAACAGATTTGAGAAGTAATTTTCAGATTCCGAAAACAACGGAAGAAAGCTCAAAGCACAACAGAACGCTTATATTCCGTGCTCCACAAAAAAGTTGTATTGTTTGATAAATTCAATGTCAATTTTTTTCTAATTCAGCAAACCAGCATATCGTGAAACGCAAACCACTTTAGATGCCAGACTCAAGGCTCGAAAACCTTATCTGCAGCGATATGACCGCAATTGTCCCACCATCATCGTCCCCACTCCCCTTCCCCTGGCGCGGCTGCCGCAGGTCAGTCAGCAGCTGGCCATTCTGCGAGAATTCACCCTGGACTTGGCGCACAATCACGGCTACAAAGGTGGCAGCGAGGACGACTGGTCCTACAGCTGGAACTTCGCCAACTCTCTGCTCTTCACCGTCACCATCATGACCACCATAGGCTACGGCCACATCTCGCCAAAGACCATGTACGGTCAGCTGTTTACCATCCTGTACGCCATGATCGGCACGCCGCTGCTGCTCGTCTTTCTGGCCAACATCGGCGACGGCATGGCCAGGGCCCTCACCTTGACCTACAGGTAGGTGTCGGCGAAACGGTCGGGCATGACGACATCGCTAGAAAATGACGGAACTTGTGCTAAACATGATGAAATGTGTAAGACCAGTAAAACGCCTTTTGGGCGACCAACGGAGCGAGCGAGAGGATGGGCCTTGCACGTGCGAAATTGCGAGGGGGTACCTCCAACTAACTTGTGCACTGCACCCTACTAACCGGTCTTTAGCGATGTGCCAAATTTCAGCGCAATCGGCCTAGCCGTTCTCGAGATCTGGAAGCGGCACACTGCGCGTGCGCACGTGCAAGCGGGGTCCAAACTGACTTTTGCACGGCACCCTACTAACTGGTCCCCAACCGTGTACCAAATTTGAGCGCAATCGGCCCAGCCGTTCTCGAGATCTGGGAGCGCCCCCTGCACGTGCGCACGTGCTGTAGCACCCCAACCTTAACACATGCAGATGAATTATCTGATGGAGACCTAACTGTGTACCAAGTTTCAATTCAATCGGCCCAACCGTTGTGCCGTTATTGAGGTTGCAATTTTGGGGGTTCTTAAAAAATGTCCAACTTTACCACGCGCCACGTGCGGTGGTTGGCAAGAATGCATGGTGGGCCGGTGGCCATCACACCACAGAACTTTTACGTCCAAGTGACATTCAGTAAAGAAGACCGCTTGTCAATCGGATGTCCCGTTCCTAAGATATTAGCTTTTGAAGAGCGTCCCCACGGCCGGCCGGCCGGCCGGCCGGCCGCTCATACTCAGGATTTTCCCTTAATTCAGTATGAGACTCCGCTCGCTTCGCTCGCTCCGTAATTAACTGACAGCTTCGGCAAAATAGGTGATAAATTAACGTACAAAGGAGTTTCTGAATGAGGAGACCGACGCATAGAAAAAGATAGTTGCATGAAAGATTGAATGAATGAATGAATGAATGAATGAATGAATGAATGAATGAATGAATGAATGAATGAATGAATGAATGAATGAATGAATGTATGAATGCATGAATGCATGCATGAATGAATGAATACATGTTTCGATCACATTTCCTGGTATTTAGTTTTATCACATGTTTCATCAAATCAATCGCAAATCAGTAGCGTTTGCTTACTAATTCACGGTCCTGATTTCCTCTCCCTCTCAGTGATTTTCTTCCGTGAGTCAAAAATCACGGTCATGATTTCCTCTCCCACAGTCGAAAATCACAGTCGAATTTCCTCTCCCACAGTCGAGTCTGCTGCCGCTGGTGCCGCAGCTCGCGCTATAAACAGCTGCGCGCCCCGGGCAAACGGGCAAAGCGCGTCTCCGACGACGTGGTCGGCAAGGAGGAGTACATGCCCACCGACGAGATAAACGTGCCCATCACCATCAACCTGGTGCTGATTACGCTGTACCTGGGCCTGGGCGCCGTCATCTTCTCCGAGTGGGAGCAGTGGGACATCGTGGCGTCCTACTACTTCACCTTTGTCACCCTGTCCACCATCGGGTTCGGAGATTACGTGCCCGGCAAAAGGTGAGATACAGTGCGCGCTGTCGGGTGCGTGTTGCGTGTAATTCCTGGACATGGATAAGAAGCCAAGATGCAAAAATAATCGGATGTTCAAATGACACGCTCTTACCAGCGGATGAACTCAAAATGAAGCTAAAAACTATTGAACTGAAATGACAAATTGTAAAAAAAAAACATTCTTAAAGGGAGATAATGAGCTTTCTTTTTTCTTAAATAAAAATTACTCGACATCTATACTATTTCTACTGTAGTTTCTATAAAATATGAAAATTTCCTAGCACATTTTCGTATGTGAAAAACGTTTTTATTTTTGCAAAAAAGAAGCAGTACTTGCAGTACTTGTAACACCCACCGAAATGCGTTGTCCTTCTCTATAAAAAAGTCGCAGTATATGGCGCTTTTGTTTCAAACAGCGACGCTTGGGTTTTTGTTTATGTTATCGCCTTGTCGTTGCTTGGTTGTAAGGATTCTAATTTGAATTAGAGTTAATGTTAATTCGGTTTAGAATTAATTAGATTCTAATTCGGGGGTACATAGTGCCTACTCTTCTTTGTTTCCAAGTATTATTTTGCGCCACAAATGAACGGCATGCGCCAGAAACGCAGCCAAATCTTGCGATTGCGACTACGAAATTCATTATTTTGGCGTCAGAGCCTGAAGCGAAAAATACAAGCATATTTATTTCAAAAAGACTTCAGGTTTGTCGAACGGTGTTATGAGAATTTTGATAACAGTACTGCATAAGTTTTTCAGTGATGCCGCAAAAGTGTTGTATCTATCTTCTTTTATTGTGCAGTCGGCGGGACCGATTCAAAATTGAGTCGTTGCTACTAAAATAGCAGCATATGGCGTCAGATGATGAACATGAAAAATAGTTGCGTAAATTTAGACATAAACCACCCCCAAACCATGAATATCTTTTTGAAGGCACTATAGACGACCATTAACTAACTAGATGTGATGAAGATCAAATATAAGGAATACGCTCATTTTACAAAATTACATGCAAGTACCAAAAAGTGATGTAAGTACTTATTCAACGGTCATTTTCAGCGCTCCCCGCTAACGTGACTTCAAGTTGAGATATTTGCGGCAAGGTACCGAATTGAGCAAAATAGTTTTAATTTACATTATAACTTGTTGTGTTTTGTCAGAAAATGGTCCTAACTCAGATTTTGTGGAAAAAGGTCATTATCTCCCTTTAAGGGCGCAAATTAGACTATCCCGAACACCTCATTCACACATCGTGTTAGCAATGTTGTGAATGTTTTGTTGTTTATCAATTTAAATTGATTCTCTCTACATTCAGTATATTATCCACCAAGTCGGTCAATTCTGAATTATCGATGCTTCTGTTTCAGTTTTCTGGGTCGGTCATCGGGCGACGGCGACGACGAAACGTTCTCAGCGGCCAGCATCGAAATGATGGTCACCGTCACCTACTGCTTCGTTGGTACGTAAAAAAAAAAAACGTTAACGCCACGATCCTGAACAGGAAAAAATTAATAAAATAAAATAAAATAAAATAAAATAAAATAAAATAAAATAAAATAAAATAAAATAAAATAAAATAAAATAAAATAAAATAAAATAAAATAAAATAAAATAAAATAAAATAAAATAAAATGAAATAAAATAAAATGAAATACAATCAAATAAAACAAACTAAAATGATGAAAATCACTACATAAGGAATAAAACGTTCAGTTCAACACCAGCGTTTTCATAAGGAATGCATGTTAGAAGACGTCAAATGTTTAGATATAGCCAGGATTGGTGCTTGGGGCGACCTAACAACGGTAGCAGTACACCGATTTTAATTTCGTAACCGCTGTACCAACACTGATACGAAGCCAATTTAATGAACTATCTCATGCCCGCGATCTTTCGGCAGGTATGGCGTTGATCAGCATGTGCATACAGATCATGCAGGATCAGATCGTCACCAAGGTTCGCTGGGCCGGCCAGGAGGTCGGTATAATCGAGGACAAAACCCGCCCCCAGCTGCGCATACGGAGAACGCGGCGGTACGCGGTACCCGAGACGGCCAAATTCGTCCGGACCGCGGAGGATAAACGCCTGGCGTCGGCGCGACAGCACAGACGTTACAGGAGAGAGGGGGACGGGGCGGCCAAACGGAGACAGAGCAAGGAGTGGGGTGAGGAGGGAGGGCAGAAAACAGATCAGGAGCTGATCAAAGAGCACAGCGAACAGAATGTCGATCAACGTAAGCAGCAACAATCGAACGAGCAACAACCACAACAAGAACAGCAGGACCAGCGAAATAGGAAGGATGGTAGGGAGACACCGGACCTAGACCGGGACACACCAGACCTAGACCTAGAATTTGATGACATGTTCAACCTGGCCTGAGGGGCATCTTGCATTAGATAAAATCACCAATGTGTGATGTGCACATGGTCGGATACGAATACCGTTACAAGGGTAAGATCGGAAAAAATGTTGTAGATAAGAAAAAGTATTGCACGATCATATAGGTAATCATACAGGTGACATCAAAGTTCTGAGCGAGCAAAATATTGTCAATAATACCACTACTCCTAAAACAAATTAACAAGATAAAATAGTGTATTTGAGCAGAGAAAAGACAATGATAGACGTGCATACAAAAAAGTGATTTATCACATCACCAATCACACAAGAGTTGTCCGAAGCTTTCTGTTCGAAGCAATTTAACACAAGATTTGTGAATCGATAATGATTTAAAACAGGCATCTGAAATATACTCAGGTATTACCAAATAGGCACCACGACATACATCAGAAACAAAGTAAAATTACGACCAAATTCACAATAAAACAATATACCGGACCTAACGGAACAAGACCCCCGCATGAAACAGGCAAGAACTTAGGCAACGACTTTATGAGGCATTCACTTTACCTCAATCGCGTGACATACTGCAATGCATGTGAATTTTCAGAGTTACCCTGCGTCACCAAACAAATGTTTTGAACACCGCTGTGCTTAGCGTGTGAATCAAAGCCAGGGGTGACCTGTGACCCGTGAGACCCGGCTCTCGGTCAAGGTCACCAGGTCACAGGTCACTGACCTCAGTGTGTGTCGGTGAGACCGTCCGCTCGGGGCTGCGGCGCTGGGCCGGTCTGGGGCCCTTCTGCAAGTACACGTGCCAACGGCGTCTCGGCCTGCCTCGCACCAGACCTCCCCTCTCTCTCCTCCTCCCTCCCCTCTCTCCTCGGTCCGGGGTGCGCAGGTCCTGACGCCTCCCGCAGCCCCGGGTGAAGCGTCTCACGATCAGGTTTCAGGTGAATATACATACAATCATTCTGCGACAATTTATAAAGCTTTGCTTTTGTTACTGTTACACTCACGAGATGCTTGAGCAGGAATAAAATATCCTAACAAATGTAAAACTGTGTTTTGATCACGAGTGCTGGCTGCCGAGTTTAGCAAACACATCGGTTTACGCGCACCTGGCCCAAGCCGACGCCCAAAACAAACATATTCTTGATATGTTATATGTTTTATATGCCAAAACAGCATCGGGCTAAAGTAATTTTTCGGAAACAAACGATTAGCATTGGATATCTTTGACTGCTTCCGACAATGTTGTTGCTGAAGACGCCGAGGCCGTTGGTGCGGATAATCAGCCAGTAGGAGTGGTTGCGCAGGTGGCGGACTTCGTCAGCCAAGTCCAGGACGGAGGCTGGCTCGAGGGCGTTTGGGTGTGGATGGAGGTAATAATAGTATAACGCGTGAATCTGAAGCCCTGTCTGTTTCTGAACAGCATGTTGAAGTCAGAAAATTGGCTAGTCAATCACAGGTGAGAAGAACCGGACGTCCTTCCATCCAGCCGTGCATCTCGAAAAAGTCGCCAAACTTTGCGCTGACTCCAAACACTTCAGTGATGGTTCGACAGGTCACAGAGGTCTGGTTTGTGCAGACGCGTCCCCGACAGAAGTCGCCCTTCACCAGACAGTCCGAGTCTTTCCGACAGAACTGGTGGTGCTGAGAGCGGCCCGGCATCACAAAGTACGACATACTGGAGCTCCTCACTATTGTGGAGTAGCTGGCAACTGTTGTATGCAGTCGGCACCGCCCGTTATCGCGATTAAAACTGAAGCTGGCACAGGTCGGGTATTTGTGACAGAGAGCACAACAGACGCAAGTGGAGCCAGGGGTGATGGTGAACTTCATGAACGTGTGGTCCATGTTCAAGTACCCTTCACTCCATGCCGTCTCCATGCAGGATTGAACTGAATGCAAGGACCATACGAGAACAAAGCCGAGCAACACAATGCAGGAAGTCGCTGGCCAACAGGCGCTGCCACGGTTCATCTTCGTTGTCTGAAGGGTGGCATCAAGAACCTATATATTTCTTTCTTACTTCAAAGAGCAAGAAATGGATTAGGATTGAAGTTACGATCGTTAAAAAAATGTTGCTTGATGCCGCCGACGATTATACTTTTGCCAACACTATAGGTCAGTCAGTCCACTGTTGGACAACAGAACTTTCAGCTCACCTCGACTTGGGCCGTAACCGTCCAAGCGCTTTAAAAAGAAATAAAAATGCGGACGGAAGTAACTACAGCCGCCAAGCTGCCCCAGCAGAGCACAGGTTCCGAGTTTCCCGGTCAGCAGGCAGTAAAGCGGTGTTCACACCGTGGAGGACCCTACCACGATGGAAGCCTCGACCACACTGAGGCCGCGTGCCAGGACTGCATGTCATTATTTACCTGCCACATATCAAAACGTGACTGGCAACCAGAGCGAACGCCATCAGCAAGGCTATCAAGACAATCCTCCTTTGCCCTTATTTACAGTAAAAACGAATAAATAGGAAACAGGTATGGTCCTAGCGCGAGCTAATTTGGTAGTAATTTGTGGTTATCGCAACTGGATGAGCGATTAATTTCGCCACAATCGCGGTGGAATGTTATTGTGCATTCGTAATCTGATGACCCAAAAGTCATGATTAATTGAATAACAGATGGCTTGTGTCCCCTAATTACGAGCTGTTTGCCAAGTAATGATAACCGACTCGGAAATCTCCAAGCAAGCAAACAAAAAATTACTGCAACAAATAGGTATGTATTGGTAGTTGCGGCGTTTTCATGCGTTTTAGAATTAGACAAATTTCGACGTTCGCCTTTCAACAAAGGCTAAGTCAACGAATTTCACGGCCTTTGTACGTTTGTAGGACACAATGTATTACATGTCAGGGACGCTTAAAATTCTCATCTGTCAGTATAAAGGGTTAGAATAAAAGAATAACCAAAAAGCGATAGACACCGGTCCAATTTATTTCACTGAGCAGTAGGTACGCTATCCATGCATAAGCAAACACAATACGACGCCGCTCATATTTCGACGTACGGTGCCGCTGTGCGCCTCGTGGAGTGATACACCGCCCCGCGTAACGCCATGGCCACACACAGGACCACCGTGACACCTCCGAGCCAGGTGGCCAGGGTCGGGTACCCCCATCGGTCGGTCACCAGCCCGCCTCCCACCGGGCCTAGCACGTTACCCAGGGAGTAGGCCGCTCCAAACACCGCTGACACCAGCGCCTGACCGCGTACATCACTCCGCAGACCGCGAGCGGTCGAACGACGCACCATCAGCGGCAGGAGAGGAAGATAGGCGCCCAGCTGGAACGGCTCGCGTAGTACCATCCCCAAACCGAGCAGCAGGCGGGACGGCCGGAGACCGAGCAGGGGGGACGGAGGGATCAACAGCACGCCAAGAGCGGTGGGCGCCAGACAGGCGGCCACCAGCAGGAACGTGTTGTTGATGTGATCCGAGAGCCGCCCCCAGAGCGGGCTGGAGAGAGCGTAGCCGGCGAACGAGCCCAGGAAGAAGAGGCTCAGCTCGGCCGGCTGGATGCCGAGGACGGCGTGCATGTAGGGCTCCATGCTGGGATCCATGGCCGTCCAGTTCATCGCGGCTACCAGCAGCGCCGCGAATATCAGCCAGTTGTCGGCTGTAGAGAGCACGAGAATCAGCATCTCGAGGTAACTAGAGCGGCTGTCGTCCTTCTCGGTCGTTCGAGTCGAACGGTCCGTCACGGTCGGCATCAGGATCAGGCTAGCGGCTGCGGTGCCAAGCAGTAGAACACCCAGAGTGTAGAATGGCGCTCCGTACCCGCCCAAGGCATACATCGCTCCACCGACTGCCGGGCCCAGGCACAGGCCGGCACCAATCATGCCCTCCACCAGACTCATGGCCGAGTTCATCCGCCGCGGGAACTGGTTGATGATGATGGTTCGCGCAGCCGTCTGGGCGGCGGCAGTGCCGACGGCCTCGGCGGCTCGCACCGTCAGACACCAACCCAGGAACGGTGCCGGGCCCTCGATGTAAGTCAACATGCCAAACACCACCGTGGTTACTCCAGCCACCAGCAGACTGAGTGTGTAGAGCCGCGTCACGCCAAGCCGCGGTGCCAGCCAGCCCATTGCCGGGAACGCTACCATCTGAGCCAACGCGAAGCAGCTGAAGACTGCTCCAGATGCGGCGCTGCTCAGACCACGAAGGTGGGCTTCGTGAGTGAAGAATGGCGCCTGGATGACGGTACAGCAGCCGGCGAGCAGACTACTAGCGGAGAGACACACTAGAAGGCAGACCTGAGACCGGCTGAGCGGAGGCGGAGACGGTACGACGGGCTCAGGCTCATCCGGAGAAGGTGATGAATCTTCATAGCTGGAAGACAGCGAGCTGGTGGTTTGAGATGAACTTGCTTCATCAGTGGCTCCGCCATTGTTCGGGGATGACTTAAAAAGCAGCGGAGATGTCTCGAGATTCTCTTCAGAAGGCGAGCTTTGCGGGGGATAGTCGTTTCGGCCCATCGGATCGGGATGATCGCATCGGATTGGAACACTGAACCGATCGAGGCTGAGTACTTCTCAGAACTTGCAGCGACTGTGGTGCCCAGCTCAGACGGACCTATGAGGCGTCACAGGAGCAAGAAGCGTCACACCAAGCGACTCACATCGGCTAGGGTCGTCACAGAACACACGAGTGACAATTATCACGCCGCAGTCAGTCAACCACGGCCCCTTCTCTTATCACCGGTCTATTTCTAACCGCTAACTTCTTGCACCACACAGCGGCCTCTCTCCCGGTCTTCCCACAGTCACGGCTACCGTCAGACTGAATATGATTCGTTATCAGCCATCTTTTCCAGCGTCCTGAGGCTGAGAGCTGCTGTGGCGACCTGTTTATTCACCCCAGGAATGCACCGGAAAGCACTGACATCAGCCAGCCTCATTAGGAGCATTCACGCACTTCTTATGAACATCTTACAGAAGCACGGTAATTTTCGGAAGACTGCGAACGCAGAGAGGTGATAAGCTAGTTAAGATTCCGACAAATTCAGCTGATGCGTCCGCAAGAAATGTGTATAAAAACAAACACATATTTGACATGAAAACGGCCGAGACATGGGAAATCTAGCCGTGCCGCTCTAAAGGGTATCCGGCCAGCAACTGGTCATGATTACGGAGCGAGCGAAGCGAGCGGAGTCTTACGTAGAATAACGGAAATTTCTGAGTATGAGCGGCCGGCCGGCCGGCCGGCCGGCCGTGCGGACGCTTTTGCGAGGCTTATATCTCAGCAACCACTTGACCGATTTACATGCGGTAATTTTTGTAGGGTAGCTTCATTCCTTCTACCAAGTATTGGACTATTCCCGATGCATGTGGGTGACCCCTTATGCACGTGCCACGTGCAAAACGAAGAGGTGTCACTTTTGTAATTGTTGCAATATTTCGGTAACTACTTGGCCGATTGCGCTGAAAGTTGGCATGTAGGTAGGCACCCACTAGGCACTGCATATCCATGTGCCAGAGTTGGGGTGCCGCTGCACGTGCGCACGTGCAGGGGTCGTTTCCAGATCTCGAGAACGGCTCGACCGATTGCGCTCAAATTTGGTACACAGTTAGGGACCGGTTACTAGGGTGCCGTGCACAAGTCAGTTGGGACCCATTTTGCACGTGCGCACGTGCAGGGTGCCGCTTCCAGATCTCGAGAACGGCTGGGCCGATTGTGCCCAAATTTGGCACATCGCTAGAGACCAGTCAGTAGGGTGCCCTGCACAAGTCAGTTGGAGGTACCCCCTCGAAATTTCGCACGTGCAAGACTCACCCGCTCGCTCGCTCCGTTAGTCGCCCCAAAAGGCGCTATACTGGTACAATATCTGTGCTGTGATAAGATAAATGCACGGGTTGGTATGTTTACATCGTTCGCGAGTCACCACCGGGACAGCTGCACTGATATGTCTATATTTCCTGTTTTAAATAACACTCGGTGATTCTGACAGAGCTCAAGCGTGACTCCTAAATGTTGTTTTCTATTTCGACGGGAACGTAAAATAAGAAAATCATGCACAAGAAAAACGACAAAACGATGTACACGAACAAGGAATTGGCCTGGGACGTTTTATTTCGATCATCATGGAATAGAACCTAATGCAGAAAAGGAGAACATAACCGTAGCGGGAGCCGGTACGGAAAGGTATCAATGAAAAATTGTTCGACCCGTTATCACCTAAGAAGCTGAAATTGAACAGATCACCACCTTGTGCTCCGTGACAAGCATGGATAAAAACAAAGGCACAGCTGGCGAATGTTCAATGTCAAAACTCAGGAGAAACAAAAACAAAGGAACATCAAATGGGTAGGGTACTGGGTAGACCTTCACATCCGGCGAAAGGAGAAAAAAAGCATACCGTCCTACTGCTTGGTCACGATCGACATCTCAAGAATACACAGCCCTTAGTCCCGCTAAAGTAAACGAAGAGAACGGCCCCAGCAACCGGCGATTTACGCCAAAAGGCAGGCAAACTAATTACTATGATAGCACTATAATCCCCGTAAGTCCCGGCGCACAGGACGGACAAGAACACACCCGAAGAGCGTCGTAAGCACTCACACACGCACTCATTCACTCACTCACTCACTCACTCACTCACTCACTCACTCACTCACTCACTCACTCACTCACTCACTCGTCCAGCCCCCGAGACGCCCTCCGTTGCGAGTAAATATCCTATTCCTGACAGATACGGCTACATCGACTGCCGATACCCCGGGTCACTCACAACACCGCACCCCAGCCGCGAGCCGACTGACCCGAGGTCAGCGACCGCAACCACTGCGCATGCGTCGTGACACGCGCGGACTCTGTTCCACGGCACATAACAGACCACGATGCCAGTCAGTAACTCTCGAGTTACTCAGCGGTCGGCATTCGGCGTTAACGACATTGAGACATACCAAAAGTGATTATCCAATTATTCCCACCGTCCGAATTCACCCAGGTTCCAAGAAGCATGCGTGCGCGGATCTCGAGACTCGAGTCCATCATTTTTTATGTGCGTGTGTGTAGGTTTCTTTCGAAAGGAAAAAATATGGAAACAACCAAATGATAAAAATATGGAATAAAAAAATAATAATAAAAATATGGAAACAGGTCAAATGCCAACTTATTGCCAGCTGAACTCGGCAAGTCATTACAAACAACCAACAATTATGTGGAACTATCAAATAATCAAAGGCAGACATCATTTCAACACCTCGTAAAAGCATATCTTCTTCAACATCACGGGGAGCAATGACCTGAGTTTAAAACTGATTAAAATTAGTGTGTAGTATGTGGATAAAACTGTTCGACAAAAAGCGAACTAAAAGAGAATTAGATCCAACCTATGCTTACCGATATTTGCCATCAACTGCAGAGACTAAGGGTAACCTAGCATATCTGCAATAACGCTAGATCCCCAGTCTCTTCTCTCCAAAAGGCAAATACCGTAAATACCATTTTGAAGGATCATCCAAAGCTTCTCCTACTTCCGAAGCCACCCACCGATCCAACACAGACCACTGGGTCTCTTTCACACATTTCCATATATTCTGATCACTCTGTACAGTTTACACATCATTTTCGGGACACCCGTTCCCATCCACTCCCCGTACCGAGCGAGTTGAACGACCCGCACCGCCGCGCATTAAATACGCGCTCCAAGCGCCTCGGTTCTCCAACAAAGGATTCTAAAATTTCCGTCTATGCCGTCGCCGCTGCCACGATCAACCTTTCCGCCGCCGTTAGCTCTGCTTCAACCACTGAAGCCTCTGATCTAGTCGTGGAACTGTTCCACCAGCAGGTTTGATCAGCTCTGGCTATTACTGAGCTACAAAGATACTAGCTACAGCAGTTAGACAAGCGAGAGCAGAGGCAGCGGCAGAGAGGCAGAGTCGCGGAGAGACGACGGCAGAAGACAGAGGAGCGGAGTGAGGCGGCAGAGTGGGCTGACCTGACGCTCGCCCCGTCCGAAACACGTCGCGCGGCCTATAACTGCAGCAGCGTGTGCGGCATGTTCTAGAGCTGGTCCAGGTAGGGCACCGTCCTGAGGTTCCCCCGGGCCGCCATCGACAGTTTGCCGCCCACCAGACGTTTGTGGAGCTGAAACACGGAGCACGCAGTGGGTTAGATACGGGGGCAGCGAGGTCGGATAAAATCTCACAGCAGAAGTAACGAATGACACAATTGAGGGACTAGGAAAGTTCTTTCATCAGAAAAGAAGATGGATACAATAAGCTGTGAAGAATGTAAAGGTTTAATGACAACAGCGCACCACACGTATGGTAGGTCTCAAAGTTTTAAGCAAAGCCCGATCATGATTATATAGAGTAAAACAAAGCGCATACCACACTCCAAGCGATGCCAGAGGCAGTCATTAATGGGTTCCACGAAAAATCGATGCCCAATTTGGTGCGCCACAAAGTTCAGCAACAAACGGCAACCAACTACAACAAAGTTGTGAGCCGTGCATATTGTAAATGATGCATTCGAATGGGCCAGTTGCAAGTAGCTATCAAGTCTAACATCGCACGATGGCGTTATGAGTCCAGCCATAGCGTAACAAGTCTCACCATCGTCACCAAAGCAAGGAACTTCAAACACTCGCCACTTAGGGGTAGCCAAAAGTATGTATAGCAACATGATAGTCTACAACTTTGCCGTCTGCTAAGCATCCATGTCCTCCATTAACCGACCAAAGCCTACAAAAGGTATACAAACAATGCGCACAACTCCGTCGCAATCAGCGGGAGATGGTTGCATGACATGGTCTGCATACTTTTAACTGGGTATCACCATTATCAAATCAGGTCGGGTTTTAGAATTGTGAAGGGGGTAAGGGTTCCCTTCCCAACTCCTAATACCCGACCTGATTTCACAATGGCCATACCTAGGCAAAAGTATACTGAAAATGACATGCAAAACTCTTCAACACAGTCCATCCGGCACGTAATCCTATCCCACATTTCACCCCCCCCCCCCCCCCCAACCAGACAACTCAACTCTTCAACCGCTACACCATACGTCCAACCCCCCCCCCCCCTCCCCATATTGCAGCACCCCTCGGTCCCGTCCCGTCGAGCCCCCAAACCTACAGTCTGTAGTTGTACGTCGGACAGTCGAGACCCCACTTACCGTCTGTACGTCGGACAGTCGAGACCCCACTTACCGTCTGTACGTCGGACAGTCGAGCCACCCCCCCCCCCCCACTTACCGTCTGTACGTCGGACAGTCAAGCCCCCCACCTACCGTCTGTACGTCGGACAGCTTGACGGCATCGATGGCAGCCAGCGCGTCAGAGACGGCCGATACCTTGCCCAGTGAGGCGCCCTGAACGCCCATCGTCTCGACGCACGAGCCTGCGGACAGGGGCGGGTGAGGTGTTACAAAACTTGTACTGGTGGGGTAGTGGTAACAGAGCCTACTCATAATGTTTTGCTCTCAAAGCGATCAAGCTCCAACCCATTCACTCCAGTAATATCTGACGATACTGAGGGGGGTTTTTGGGCGCCCGGACTACCAGTGGTCATCGGCGACTGACGATACTGAAAAGGCCATGAGATGATTGTATCCTCATCGTAGACTCTGCACACAGAAGTCTACAGTCTACACCGTCCCCGGCGTACCCCCATCGGACCCGGCGACTAACCTGAGTTGTCGTCGGCTCGCAGGACGGCGGCCTTGGCCAGGGCCTTCCCCCTGTTAACGTCCTCGGCCGTCAGAGACGTCGTCTTGAAGGCCTTGTTGACAGCCTCAATCACCTATCGGAACAGTGGGGAAAGGACGTGAGAGCTTAGTCAAGCTGGAATATTCAGACAGTATGGAGTCAAAAGAATTGCGGCACGAAAGAAAACCAAAATAAATCATGAAACCTAAAATACTCATGCATACTACTAGGCGACCGAGAATCATTGGAAGCATATCATGTCAATCAAGTACATGAAAACAACTAACGCAACCTTTCAAAGAAAAGTATAACTCTGTCCGATATCTTCTATCACGCACATCACATGCATTGTAGCCTATCGGTTCCTTCTCCTCATAAATTGCTCTCTCATTCCTCACTCATCGACTGGCGCACGGCATCCGTTACACCGCCCCTCCCCCCCCCCTTTCCCCCGCCCCGGCCCCGCCCTCACCTGGCCCGCCTTGTCGGCCTCCGCGGCCACCGTGTACCCCACCAGTCCGGTATCCGAGTAGACAGCGTTCAGAGCCGCCGCCGCGCCGCCCGCCTGCGCCGCCGCCGCGCCCAGCACGCCGCGTCCGGCGCCGTACTTGACTACGGCCCCGGCGCCGAGCACGGCCTGCAGCACGGCCTGCTGGGCGGCCGTGGCGGAGGAACGGCCGGCGCCCTCGGCGGCCACGGCCACCAGCGCCACGCCGCCGCCGATCTCCGTGCGCAACTCGCCGCCGCCGTAACGGGCCGCCGGCGCCGGGCCTGTGGAAGAGTGAGAGGGTTAGTGCCTAGTAGTAGACTATTGTGAAGGCAGTGTATTTTGTACGCGCGCTGCCGGCACCAGGCCAGTGGAGAGGAGGGAGGGGGAGTCAGTGGTAGAGAGAGTGAAGGAGAGGTGGACGTTGAGCCGGAACAGGCTCGGACGGGGAAAAAGTGTTGAAGAAGGCTAGGATGTGTTCAGGCGACAGTGGCAGATATGGTAGCAATAATAACCCCTCCATGGTCGAATGACGATGACAACAATTACGTTGATTGGCGACGAAAAGGTTTGGTGCAATACGGTAAGCCAAATATCAATTTTGGGAACCCCTCCGAAACCTCAGTCCCCCGTTCAATCGTATTCCACCCACGCTTCGAAAACACGGCAACGTTTTTCCACCACCTTTCCCCAGTCAATCATAATCCTCCCTCTACGTTTCTCCTACATCCCTCGTTATCCCCATCCCTCACCTTCTCCCTGCGGCAGCTGCAGGCCCTGGGCGTACTCGACCAGTGTCTCGTGGTCGATACCGGTTCCACAGACAGCCGTGCGGCCGGCCAGCAGTGTGCGGGAGAGGTGAGAGGCCAGCTGATCGGGCCCCAGCTGACCGATCAGGTGGTGAGGCGCCACCACTGAGTTACCGAGGTCGGACTGGCGGAACGCAGCCAGGTGCAGGTCCTCGATCAGGGATACCTGAGGCAGAGGGGGCACCGGGTCAGGTCAGGTCCTCGATCAGGGGTACCTGGGGAGAGGGGGCCGCGGGTCAGGTCAGGTCCTCGATCAGAGATACCTGAGGCAGATGGGGCATGAGTTAACCCGGCAGTTGCTGGGGTATTTCGCCACCCACCGTTTGCTAGGGGGGGGGGGCGTTAAACGCCCCCAGCCGATAACTCGAGAACCAATAGGCGCAGCGAAACGCACGAGGCGGCAAACGAAAGAGCGCGACGAGACGCTTCAGATGAGTACTTTGAAGTTGAACTTTGAGGTCACAGGTCGGGTCAAGGTCAGGTCAAACACCTGAAATCGGGCTTTCAGTAGCATTTACTTCAGGACTTCGCAATGGGCGCCTCTCGTCACAAACTCTGTCAAAACGGTGCACAATCCATCATATAAAGCCTACAAGAGTGTCAGTTCCATGTAGGGGTCAGTCAAGCATAGGTCAGGGTCAATGTCAGGTCAACCGGGTAGGCACATATCCCCGAAAATCAAAACTGATATTCGCAGCCTGTGACACATGTTTTGTGGGTAATTTAGGGCGTAGAACACGATGGTGACATTCATTTTATCATATGTGTACGTACGTGTTTGGCTAAAAAGGTTCAATTTAGGAAATGCATGTATCATGGTCGTGAAGTAGTCACGAGAAATTGCCAAGATTCAGTTCAAGATTTTGGAAAATGCGAAACGATAATCAATAATCGAAGATAGCCATTTGATTGTTCATGGTATTGGCAGTCTAATGGCGTTTACGGCATGTCTGTATGTCTATTCTGTGATTTTATATGATTTTTTGAACATATGCCGTTTTTTGGTCGAAAACTCAGAAATCATGACGTCACTAAAACCTCGATATCTCAAAAATTTTCCGACCGATTTTTTTGAAACTTTGTCACAATAAACTTCAATCAATTCCCTACAGGTACCCAAAATTTGGCGCGCCTGCGGCGCGCCATTTTTATGCTATGGCCCGGCGAAAAAAGTGGGGGCGTTTAACGCCCCCCCCCCCCCAGCAACTCGCGGGTTAAGTTAGCTCCCAAACTTCAGATACATGAGTCAGGGGGCACAGGTCACTGGTCATGTCACGTCCACAACTAGAAACCTGAGGAGAGGGCACACGGCGTCAGGTTAGGTCATGTCATGTGGTGGAGATGGTACAGAGGGTCAGGCCAGTCTGATCAGTTCCAGTCAGAACAATTTAGAAACTAGGTTGAGGCTAATCGTTCTATGAAAAATACCACATTTCAATCCCTATCAGATTTCATAACACGCACCTCCCACCATCTCAAAAGTGTTTCATCTAAATTGCTCCACTAGCGCCACCTGCGCCTCTCTGTCCACCCTCATTCAACTCTAACCCATCAACAGACTCCCTTTACTGTCTGCTTTCACCATCGCCTTTCCCTCAGACCTCAGTGGCATCTCCATTTCCACCACCCCTCTCCAGCCTCCCTTCCACCACCACCACCCCCCCCCCCCTCTCACCTCAGCGGGAGTGGTCTCGACGTCCAGCTTGAGGTGCGGCTTGATGTCGGTGATCTCCCACGGCTTGAACACCTGTCGGGTGGCGGCGTTGGCCAGCAGCTCCATCACCACGTCCCTGAGGTGGCAGAGGACGGCAGGGAGGGACAGTCAGGAGATGCTCGGAGCTCGGAGACTGGTGTATGCTCGGAGACACAACGAGCAGCAACGCAAAAAGTGGGTAGATAGATTTAGAAGGAAGATTCGACACTTCAGGCAAACAGAAATGGAGAAAAATAGCTTAGACAAGTTGTTTTTCGTATCATTTTTGCATGCATGGAGATTGGAGAACAAGAATGTGAAAAAGCCAGTTACGATTGATCGCAGTTATAACAAACGTATCCAAAAGAATACATCATAAACTCCCAATGAGACAAAAACAACATGTTTCACCAAAACACTTAATCTGGCTTCAGTCCTGGCCAGCACTCAGCAGTCAATGATCAGAACCACATCTACTACCTAGCAGACACTCTTCGAGCCCGGCCTGACACTCCGCCGGACACTCCGCCACTACGCTCACTCACATGTGATTGCGGGTGGCGTCAGCGGAGTAGATGAGGACCTCCCGGTCGGCTGAGCAGGCCAGGGAGGCGCCGAGCTGCTGCAGCTCGCGGGTCAGACCTGGGGACAGCGGTCAGAGGTCAGGTCAGGTCAGGCCAGGGAGGCGCCCAGCTGCTGCAGCTCGCAGGTCAGACCTGGAGACAGCGGTCAGGGGTCCCATAAGGTTAGGTTAGGTCAGGTCAGAAAAGCGCCAAGGTCAGACCTGGTCAGACCTGGCAGCAGGAGAATCCGTCAGATAAGGGGTGAGAGGCGCACGAATCCGGTGCTGAGAGAACAGGCCAGCAATGAGCGGAAACACCGGCTGATCCGACCAATCACTGAAGGCTAGTGTGTTCTCAGCGTTTATCAGACCGGCCACCGCCCGCTATCTGCCCCTCTCCCACCTCTCTTCTGCTCATCTACCTCTCAGTCTCACAGAAGGTTCGTTCTCGGCGTTGGTCATACTGGCCACCATCCAGCTATCTACTCCCACCCGCCTCCCTATAGTTCTCACCGAAGGCCGTGTTCTCGGCGTTGGTGAGGCCGGCCACAATCCGCAGAAGGTGAGTGGCTCCGCGGTTATCGGGCGTCTCATACCGGCTGCCACCCCTGTCGGAGGACGCACACACCCACATGTCAGAAGTCAGAGTCGACCAGGTAGAGTGGAAACCAGCCAACATCGTTTTGCATCGACAATGGTAGGGAAGGGGCCACAGCATGCTAGCCCATCTGCAATGTTGTTAGGAACGCAATAAGTGAGCACTGAGCATGATATGGTCATGCCAAGGAACTCTTGAAGGGCAGATATTCATTTAGGAAAATATTCATGTGGCTATTTTCAACTTAATTTAGAGATTTTTCCAAATATAATGAGCAGATTTCCGTACAATGAAAAAAAAAACATCTAGCGTGGCTACGCCTAACCCCACTACTCAGCCACTATCGACACAAGCCACAAGTCGTCCCAATCTCTGTAACTGGCAAACAAAATACACTTGTCAGAACAACACAGCCTGACACGCCCCGGCACACATCAACATCTTTCGACCCCACTACAAATACACACCCCTCCCCCTTCCAGAACCGTACGAACGTATAGGTACCCCAATCCCAGATCCGCTCCCACCACGCACCTGACGGCGATAGCGACACGGGAGAGCGGCGACTGGTTCTCGATAGAGGCCACCACCACGCCGTTCGGCAGGGTGGTTGTCTTCAGCGGCTCGCGGGGCAACACGCCATAGTCGGAGGACTTGGTGGCCGCCTGCGCCGCGAACCGACGCGCCTGCGGGTCATGGGGGTCAGGTCGGGTGGGTCTTATGTCTAGGGGGGGGAGTGAGGATAGCAGAGATCATGGGACACAGATGTATCAGATGCTCGACAGCAACAGAGAAATTGAAATTGAATTTGAATTTGTGGATTGTATATGCTCATGCAACATCTAAAGCAGCACCACGGAGTCGGGGTCAGAGTCAGAGTGACAGTTCTGGCTGGAGTCTGAGTCAGAGTTGATCTTTGGAAGCCAGATTTGGAGTAATCAATAGATTTCATAGCCCTGATTGAAAGGAATGACTGAGAAACTACCAAAATGCCTTCTCACAGAGCTGGCATAATTACCAAGTGTGCCTCACATGTGGGACCAAACTGTGCCCAAACTGTTACTGCATTTAATATAGCATGTTTAATAAATCAAGCCCAGACATTCAAATGGACAGATTATTATCAGAGTCCACACTAAACGAAGCTTGGTGTGTATACTGCATAGGTCTCAAACACAGCAATTTGATTGGGAAATTCCTAGATAAATATTCTAAGAGAAATAAGATTCAATGTAGGTCAGCAATGCCATTAAAACCAGACACTACCTGTCTCAGTCAAATTACTACCTAGTGGTATCCAGAAAGGAAAAAAACAGTTGTTTGGCATTTTTGAGTACCCCAAATCTTCATATTCGCCCGCGCATTACTCCATACTCGCATTTCTTCAGATGAAGATCTGGGCAACAAATGAATGCTGGATGAAGATTTGCCCTGGAATCCTACCTAACTGGCTGCTGCAGCTCCCACCATGTAACTAGAAAACAAAACATGTAAAACTAGAAAAAGTGAGCTGAGGTCATTTAAGGTCATTGACCTGACCTAGCCTTCAGGTGACCTTCACACCCACCCTTATGCATGGGACAAACATCATTTCACATGTTTGAAGCCTGAAGACTTGAAACCACAAAAAGACTATAAGCGCGCGGCTAATGCGAGCTGACATACGCCAAACCAAATCGCGATTCTGGCCAAACATGGTCTAGAAAAGGTCACAGGTCAAAGGTCATTTGAGTCAGGGTCATGAAATTTTCAGGGTTGGTGCAAAATTGATTAGCTCAAGGGCATTTACTGAAAGTTTTGACACCATCGGACGCTTTTTATGCGTTATTCGCGAAAACCGTGATGGGGTCTATTAGACACCCCCTATATGGGCGAGGGTTAATTTTGCTGTTATAAAAATGTGAACTTTAATTTTCTTATGTGGTTATATAACAGTTTATTTGATGTGCGGGCCGAAAATACTTTTACTGCCAGAATCAAAGCATTTCCTAAACCCAGGCTTACGATAAGCATCATCAGCGTTCCCGGGAAAAAATGAGAGTACGTACCGGCAGCGATCTGAGAATGTTGCTCTTCATGAGTTTCGACGCCATTTTTCGTATTTTTGAAAACCGAAATACTTCCCAGACCTTCAAAGCCAGACCCCCTCGCTAAAAAAGAACCGTGAAGAGTGAAGAAAGCGAAATCGGCGCACAAGCTACGAAAAGTGGGTATAGCAAAATCCTAGAGATGTAAAATGTTCTATTTTTGATAAATAAATAATAATTTTTTTAAATAAACAGCACTTTGCTGAAATAAAAATAAAAATAAAATTTCCTGACATTTATGAAAAATGAAAGAGCAGACAAGACAAGAAAAATCATAGATAGAGCAGCCATCACAACCGGCAGACCGGCCACTTACCCATCCTCAACGGGACCAAGGGCAAGCTTCAAAAGGCAATGCCTAACTATCCTTGTTTTTTTTTTCAGGGAAGTGCATATCGCAAAAAAAATTGCAATTTGTAGATCTACGGAACGGAGCCGAAGTCGAAGTGGCAGTCAGGGACGGTCAGTTCGAGTCGACCTTTCGAAGCGGACTCCGCTGACAAGAGTCGAAATCGGCGGAGTCACCAAAATCTTACCAAATCGGAGTCGCAGCCATTATGCACATTGCACATCCTCGCCCGTATAGTGGTGTTTCGCCAGCCGCTAACGTATAAGGAGGGATCCATTGCTCCCTTGCCGTTTCGCCCCAGATTGAGCTAGAGCTTTGCGGAAAAAACGAGCTGTAACCCGTGACGTCAACCAGTAGGGGTCCTGCTGGGTATTCGTAATAGGTGTCAACCGCCTCTGACAGCTTCGTAGCATGCTACGAACGCACCAAAACTACTTCGTGAATGTTCAACTGGTTGCTAAATTTGAATTCGGCTCCAATCCAAAAACTTGCCTAGAAACATGTAAAGCTCGAAAGAATTAGCTGAGGTCATAAAAGGTCAATGACCGGACCTGACCTTCAGGTGACCTTGAGAACAACCCTAATCAGCATGGGACCAAAACATCATATCACATGTTAAAACGCTTGAAACCACGAAAAGACTGCAAACGCGCGGCCGACATATACGCCAAATCGCGATTCCGACCAAACATGTTATCGGAAAATAGGTCACAGGTCAAAGGTCATTCGGGTCAGAGTCATGAAATTCCTAGGGAAGGTGTAACATTGATTAACGCGAGGGTACTGAAAGTTTCTTTGCGATCGGCTGTTTTTTACGCGAGTTATTTGCGAAAAACCGAGGGGGTCCGTGCGACCCCCCCCCCCCTATTCGGGCGAGGGTTAACAGTGAAGTGTGGAGCTACAATTTTGGATCCTTTCATGGACGTTGGATCTTCATGAGCGCTAAATTTTGCACACTTTCACACACAATTTCGTGGGTCAATTATTTAGAAATGTCTGCGACGTTTTGAGACTCCCATCATTTATTTCAAACTGGATTTTACCCATGAAGAACAACACAAATGTCAAAATAATTGTCAAATTCGTGCTCAGTATGGTCGATTTGACCTACATAACAACTGTTTATTTGGAGTAAAAAAAAGGAACTCTAGTCGCTGAATACGTATAGGTACGCATTACGTACCTACCTTTGAATACGTTACTAAGTTCACGGACATTCCAGGCGTGTTCAGCGCTCTACCTGTCGGCTGTCTCTATCAAAAGCTATCGTTGAAAAACTGCTGATGACCTTTATGACCTAGCATGACCTTTTGAGTGACCGCTGGGCATTGCCATCAGCTTGCCCGGGCCGAATATGGGTAAAATGGTTATACCGATGTTTTTTTTGTAAACATCTTGTTGTTTTCACGAGATTGTCCTTAGCTTATCGAAGAGGCATTTTAACTTTTCCCCCATTGACTTATCATAGTGAGGTCACAACCTCTGACCTGACCCCAGGTCACAGCGAAAAAAAGGATGAAAAATCCGTGATATGCTTATAAGTCTTTGGTGGCATTGAGGTGCTAGGAATGAGAGGACCGTAAAGTTTTTTTCTAGACATGCTAACTTAGCTTGACCTGATGGCCTGACCTAAGGTGATCTGAGAAAAAAACTTACGTTTGATGAGAAATTAACGTATTGTGAGCTATGCCAAGCTTGCCGCGCTTTGAGCCGCGGTTTTATTTACCACACACGGAAAAACTGACGACCGTAGTGTGGGACGGGACCTGCGGTTGGAACACAAGTCTCGGCCCGTTACGGTTGTCTCTCCTTCCGCGCCTCCGCCGAGCCAACTCCGCCTCCAACCTCCGCCGCCGAGCTCTCCTTCCGAGCCACACACCCCATGACCTGGAAAGTGGGAACTGGGAAACGTATGAAGCAGATGCATATGGATTGGGTAAAGGTTTAATGAGCTTGGTTAAGTTTACTGTTGAAAATAACGCCACTTACTACCACCGAAAAATGAGATGAAGACGGGCGATGGGTGCTTGTTTTATTTACTTAGTCTCTAATGACAACATCCAATGAATCTTGTCAGTGTAAGTTACCTCCACAACAAAATACAAATGCGTGTGTTTAACTGGTAATCGTACAGGCCTGAGGCACATCCACTTGACGCACTAGACCACATATCTGCACAGAACACATTTAACTTCAACAGGCTGGACCAAAAAGTCCAAACCTTGAAAGAACCGATACATTGCACAGCGTACAAGTCAATCGATTGTAAACAAAGAGTTTCATAATTGTTCATTATCTTTGGCCTTCTGTCTCCCTTTCATCCTTCATCCGTGGTCTCCGCTGCAGTCAATTCGGTCTCTGTCTCCTCCGGAACCTCCACCAGCACCGCTCCTGCCTCTTCCTCTCCCTCCTCTTCCTCCTCCTCCTCCTCTCCCTCCTCCGCCTCGCTGTCTCCGGCCAGTAGAGTGGCAGTTTCGCCGCTCTGAGACCACAAACCCGACTGCTTGAACAGAACCAACTGCGCTTGAATCCGCCGCTGCCGGCGTCGTACGATCCAGTACATACCACCTAAAACCGAAAAAAAAACACGCACAAATTTAAAATGTGATGATGAAATATAAATCAAATAGAAAGACGTATTCAATATAAACATTGTATAAATCAAATCAAATAGAAACAATGGAGGTAATCATCCAATAACATATAAGCATCATTACAAGGGTAAGCCTTTGAATAATGCTTGGACATCATATGTTTGTTTATGGATTGCTTTACTTTCCTCCATCCCCCCCTCCCCAACACACACATACACATACAGACCTGCCAGTGCGGCCAGTCCGGCGATGGTGCCCAGCACGCTGTAGATGACGGTGCCTCGAACCCCTCCCACCAGGCTCTGAGCCACCGGACCCATGGTGAGACGACGGTACGCGTCGAATGGCAGCACCTGCGACAAGACACGGGAGACGATGTGACGTCGTGAGTGACGAGTACAAGTGATGTCATGGGTGATGACTGACGAATCCATGAAGCCTACCCCGTAAATTTGGTGTTTCTGAATGTCATAGGAGTCAATCAATTGGGGCGGATGTTTATAATCTCCCACTGGCCGTTCGCTTACTGAAAAAAGTATATGGTCCGGCGAGAGTCAATCGCTGCAAGTTCCGTTCGCTGAAAGTTTCAATGTTATCGGCCGATGGATCTAACTGTGACGAGTATGTAGATCTTTCTTGAGGCTAGGTCGATTGATGTGACCTGATGACCTGACCCTGAACGACTTGGGCCCGGAATTTTAACAAATTGTGCAGAAAAGAGCCATCATGGCCGCCGTTTTTTATATTCGCGGAAAATCACGTGGGGGTGTTAAACACTTCCCCCGGCCCTCCCGCATCAGGAAGTTGGTTGATATTGGTCACATCGCGTGCTGGCTCACCTGTAATCTGAACCAGCTGGTGATCCAGAGTAGTTTGTACTTGGGCTGGTACACCCGACACTCCCACTCCCCACTCAGCTTTTCGCTGGCAATGCGCATTGTCATCGTGTTCAGTAGCGTTTCATTGACCTCCTGCGAAATTCATAAAGTCATGTGTCGTCAGCTAACGATAAATATTTTATCAAACTGCTTCGATGAATTAGCGAAACCAAGAGGGGTTAACGAGTCAACATTGAATGACGGTTATTAACTTCAAATTGCATAATTCTATCGACTGTTCGGTCACGATTTTCCGTTCAGCTGCCTAACGACGCTCCCGAATCCCCTTTGAACACGATTAAAGTGCAGTTAGTGAGCGTTAAATACTGACCAGGAGCCTTATTTCTTCGACGGCAATATAGCGGGGCTCCATAGGATCTGTCTGGTCGGTTTTTGGCAGCACCATATCCGTGTGGTTCTCATCAGGAAACACCCTGTAAAAGAATGAATTAAAACTTTTTTGACGGACCATGAAAGTTATGTAACCAGTGGCGAAGCTTGCGTTTGCATCCCCTATGTATTTTTTCTGGCATTAGTATAAGTGCTGTGAATTTGATCACCGCCCAGCCAACAGGAAATATTGTAGTCATACCCCGCGTTCAGAGTCTCTCAGACGACGAAGATTCTACGTCGTCCGGCCAATCTCGTTCAAGATCAGCGGGGGCTTGGCTGCGGTTATGGAACGGGATTGGCCGGACGACGTAGAATCTTCGTCATCCGAGAGACTCCGATCGCGGGGATAGACTTGTGCATGTTTTTTAATTCGAAATGGATAATTATCATAAAACTTTAGGTAAATGATGCTAAGATTAGGAATTTAGAGCGCTCGTGCATCATTCAGGTCTCTAAGTACTAGCTGAAGGACGTTACAAAACACTATTGGCAAAAAGAGCTAAGCAGCGCATTCAGAGGAATGCCATTAACGACATTGCCATAAGCTTAGTACGTACGCTTAGTTGCAATGCTGAAAAAGTCATTCCATTCGCGCTTTAAACCAAACTTCTCTAAATATTGTAATGAAGGAATGGAAAAACAACCGTCACGCCCGGATAAGAGATGAATTTTCGTAGGGTGTGACACGAACGCGTCAGCTCTCCTACCTGTAGCCCATGTAGGAGTAGAGCTCTCCGTCAAGGTACCAGAAGTGGATGAGGTCGTCGTAAATCTGGTCCAGCAGCTCGCCCATACAGTCAAACTCCACTCGATCGCCGGTCATTACGTGCCTGAAATACCAGAGTCAAGACAGGCGTCATCCCGGGGTCGGAAGGTCTCGGGTTCGATTCCCGGTGCCGCCCGCTGTTCGGGGTGTTGTCGCCAGCGGGGTGGACTCCGAGGGAAGCAGAAGCAGAGGCTGCATCCGAGGGTAGAGGAGGGTCAGGAGTCCTGTAAATGGGCGCCATAATAGCTGGTAGGGAAGAAGGCGAAGTTCACTAAAGATTGTTAACTTATTGAAGATTGTTAAGTGCTCTCGCGAGGAACATCTTGTAATATTACAATATGATTATTTATTACTGACCTGTTCCTGGAGTATATAAATGTTGAATGTCGAAAAAGTATAAAATAATACATCTTTTTCGACATTCTTTCATTCACATTTGTCCAAACATATTTCCCATTTGAATGTGCATGCTTATAGCCAAAGCCAGGAGGCAGGTCACTCGTTACTGCTACACATGTATATGAATTACTGCGAACAACTGCCTGCTGCTATTGATACGTAGATAATAGATATACCAGAGAACACCAGATATACCAACAAAAAATAAGTTGCCATAAGAGCGACACATGACTCATGTTGACCATTAACGTTTGGATATTGGCGCCGACGGAAACCCGATATCCCTTGGACTGAAGTAAAGCCGAGGCTTTTAACGACGACTGTCCGTGGCCGCTCCAACTACGTACATATATCCGATTATGGGATGGGCATCGCGGCTGCCTGTCCATTAGTGCCCACACTATTTTACTGGTTTATACCGGAGTGACTGGGCCGGTCCAGGGATAAAAAGACGGGCGAGTCCAGCGCCCCCTCTCACCTGGTGACATTTTCCGTGCGCACCACCACCGTCACCAGCGCCACCAGTCCGGTGACGTCTGGTGAGGGCTGCACCACGCAGCTGTAAACACCCGTGTCCCGCCAGCTAGCGTTCCAGACCACCACATCCAGATCTCGCCGCTCCATGCGGTTACTGTCCACGCGCCATGGCTCTCCGTTCAGTAGCCAGCGGGTGTCCAGCAGAGAGAACTGCTCCTCGGCGGCGCGGTACGCGTCCGTCCGACACCTGGTGGCGGCACGGTGAACTGTTAATGATAGGGCCGCCCCAAGAGGGCGTGCGAACATTCACTCAGTTTTTTTTCCGGAAACCTTGAAAATTGCGCCACACTCTAACGCCAGTTATCAATTTTATATAATTCGTTTTATTAACCCTAGAACGCCTAGGGGGGGGGGGGGTTGTATCAACCCCCCCCCCCTGAGGTTTTTTCGAAGTGCACGCTAAACGGCTTGTCGTAGCGGGCTGAAATTTTCAATACCCTCTGGGGCAACCTTTGCGCATCTTTTGCCGAAAAAATTGATCGGGTCATGTCAGGTCACGGAGTTATGACGTCATAAGAGGTACAGCCTCCGGCCGGATTTTCACAAACTGAGTGCCAACGCCAGAGGTTTCCTGCCGGTGGTACGGACATCGGTTGATGGATCGTGATGAAACTTCCCATGCATGTTGGGGCAAGTATTGGCTATCATATGGTATAAGAAATTTGACCGGGTCAGGTCAGGTCACGGAGCTATGACGTCACAAGAGGAACAGCGTCCGGTACTATTTTTGAAAAGCGCCCGAACCACTATTTTGCTAATTCTTGTCACCTCAATGGGAATATGCAGCAATATTAGCTTCTATAGGGAGCAAATGGACCTCCCAAATCCAAAAATACAATCAGATTTCAAAAATTTAATTTTTGATTTTTGGAATTTCTGCCGCCGACTGTGACCTTGCCGACTTCCGGCGCTCCCAACGCGCCATTTTTAGAGCTAGGGAAACGAAATACATACCAAACGATAGAGAATTGATCAAGGAACACGATAGTGAAGGTTTCAAGTCGATATCTCCCACCGTTTTGCCGCAATCGCCGCCGAAATTTGAAAAAAGTCGATTTTTCCGAAAAGTTGACCTTTGACCGGTCAAAAGTAGGTCAAATGTTGACCTAGGACCAAAAAATATACCACCAATCGCGAGATCTCGTTGAGAGCAATCCGTTGGTTTTTTCCGCTAAGCTCTACGACCTTCCGTTTCGAAACGCCAGGGGGGGTCGTAACAACCCCCCCCCCCCCCTGGTCGTTCGTGTTATGAGAAATGGCCTGGTCGTGCGAGGGTTAAGTTAATTTCCCACTTGTCCTCGCCTGACAGTGTTCGTGGTAAAACGAAAGCTTATCGTACCTACCATAGTTCGATGTTGGCACGGTTCTCGAAAGTTTCCTGTTTAACCAGAAGTTGTTACGTTACCTGAGCACAAATCTATCGCCCTCGTGCAGATCAAGAGAGATGGGATCGTTAGCCAAGTTGTACAGCATGCGCAGCCTCGTGTCATCGGAGAAGGTGCCGCACTTGTGGTTGTTGCACAGCCCGAATTCACGAGGCACGTGCCAACCTGGGGAACATCGAGTTCATTATTAAACGGTGCTGAAACGCAGACGAACTCACCACAGAGTGTTTAAAAGAACATACACTGAATATTCGACTTTACAGTTATACCTATATTAAATTAGACAGTGTAAATATGTAGCAAGTCAAAAGACAGGAAGAAAAGACCTTTCGGTAAGCTTAGTTGAAGAGGGTCTCTATAAGCCCGGCTTGTACGCTATCGGTGAACGGATTTCAGCAGAAACTGTGCAGCCGTGACCGATCACTTGATGGATCCATGTGATCGTCAGCCATTGTCCGTCTCCCGCTGGGACTAGCCTGGACAGTCGTGTCCCCACAGGGTGGCCTCCGGGTTGTTACAGAGCCTCTGTCGGCTGCCGAACCCCCCATCACACGGAGCGCTGCAGTCCCAGGAGGACCACATGCCCCAGCCGCCGTCCCGGGCCACCGGCTGCCGACAGTCAGGTCAAATAGCGGGGAGTGCCACCGAGTAGAATACCAGAGTAAACGACACAATAACACGAGAGGCAAGTGGACTGATATGTAGCAAAATGTCGATAACCTGCTGAGTTTCTGTGGTTATTATGTGAAAATTATCCCTGAGACTGACGATTCTGACAAAACGTCTAATAACCTTGCTTACGGGATATATAGGTAAGTTACCGTGTTTATTTTCGTTCGTGTGTGCTTGCTGGCAGCAATAGGAGCCGTCGAAGTGTGCGTATCAATTCCATTGGTATGGTAAGCTACATGATTTTAATTCAAGTAGTAAAAGACGCAGACCAGCCCCCAGGAAACACGAAGAATAGCACTCTCAGTCGATGTGGCAGTTTCACCCCTGACCCTGCGAGCCGCGAGGGACTGGGAGCGGGGTTCAGAGTCAGCAGCCACCCCTCTCACCTCAAGCTGCTCGTCGGTGGGTGGCTCGCACCTGTCTCCCGCCAGGTCGAGCATCACCTGAACGCCGCTCTCGGTACCCTCCAGAAGCGAAATGGAGCCGTACTGAACGTCGCCCACTCCAGCGCCGTCGATATAACCCTCAAACAGACACTGGTAGTCGTCCTTGTAAGGGGTCTGCAAACAAGGACAGGATAGCAAGGCCTTGTGCTGATTGTGCAGGGCTAATCTAATCAAGTTCTTAAAAGTTTTGTCTTTTGTTTACAATTACAAACGTTCTCTTCTTCTAAAACCTATGCTTGCAAATTTTTATTCGACTTCCGATATCTTCGTTCGACGCTAAGTGAAACTACTCTAGAGAGATGAAAATTACAATGAACTTTAAACTTTTGATATAACAAGGAAGTACATTCGCCCTGAAACTGCCCCCTCACCTCCACATGCAGTTTTGCCGTCGGTTTCTTGCCGCCAAGATCTGTGATGACCCTGACCAGTATCGTGTGCCACTGTCCATCGGCCGTATCATTGACAAACACCACAGAGCCGAAGCTGAACCACATCCCGTTCTCGACGTTATACTGTTTCGAGAGCCGATCTCGCTCGCGCACATAGGCAGGGTCTCTGTCCGGGCGGTGCTGTACCACGGCCAGAGCGAACTCTCCGCCCGGGGGAGGGTTAGCCAACGGCAGAAACCCGTCCATGTCCCCTCGCCGCCGGTGGGTGAATATGGCGTCGTACACCTGTATGTATGGAGGCAGACATCTTGGAAAGCGGGAAAGGTATTTAGAAGGTTTTACTTAGCGAGCGGTGCTTGTTTTTGCGTCAGAATACTCATTTTAGGGTGTTTTAGGTTTGGATTTAAGTGAAACGTTACCAGTTACATCTGTTTTTTGGTAGGTCAGGTGGTGCTGAGAAAAAGTGAACACACAAACGCCAGGTACGAAAATTCAGTTCAGGGGAATCGACTCGCTCCAATGCACTGGCACATCTGGCTTAATTATTGGGAGAGTTTTGAACCGCATAAAAAGTTTCATATGAGAAGCCACGTAAACAATGCTAAGCGTCTCGTCCCAGCAGCGGATACCGTCCAAATCGATCACTAATCTGACCTGAAATCCATTCTCCTTTCCGTTGGCCATCTCAGCCAGGCGAACCACAAATCCGGACTTGACGTTCGTCTGCCGCTTCAGGAACCGAATGGAGAACTCAAAAATGGCCTCTGTGGCGCCACCTTCGAGTGTTCGCTGTCTGTTTAGCGAAAAAGACACCGGTGGGTACTGGGAAGAAAACGAAAAGTATAACTGTCACCGGTTGAGGAAGGCTATAATCTCCAACTAAAATTGCAAAATAATAAACAAAGCGTAGGAAATAATAAAAGGAATAGGAAAGTGGCCTGCGAAACCCGCTGTAGGTAAAGGTATTCGGTAAATCTATTTTTGTAATTATCAACGGCACCGTTTCATAAAAACTGCTAGACAATTATCAAACAATTTAACGATGCAGGAAAAAAAGACAGCAAAAACAAAGTTAGAAAAAATACATCCACAAACAGATTCAATCAACAAAATTTAGCGCTGCCATTAGCACATCTGCTACACCCACCGTGTTCGGCTGAATTTCCACAATGGGACACAAGTCACGCAGCCTCTCTTGGTGGAAGGCGAACAGCGTCCCCGTTTTCTGGTTTCCCTGAAGCATGAGCCGAGAGAACACCCGCCGTCCGTAGCTGGACGCTGATTGGTGCTCGCCTTCGTCCTTGACCTGTGCACGTGACGCGGTGACCGGCTCACGGTCGCCGGTGGCTATGGCGCCGATGTAGCGGTACCACTCGCCGGGAGTCATTTTGTTGTTTCTAATGCGCCCGGCGTCGGTGATGGCATTTTCTGCGGGAAAATGTGTCTGGATTGGCCTTCGGTGGCTTCGAAAAAAGCAATTTTGTTTCAATAAATAGCAATTAGCAAAGGATGCAAAATAGTATACTTATTATGTACTGTAGAACATGTTTATAACACATTATGTTATATTATATGTGGAAAAATGCGAATAGATATTTACTCTAAAACTATGTCAAGAGGCTTATTAGAGTGCATATAGATAAGGTAAAAGATGGTATAATGCGCATGAAGAAACAAAAAAAAAAAAAATGCCGTCAACATACATAGCCACGATTGGTCAAAGACTAAAACCTATTTTTGCATCGAACTGTCAAACCGAATAACTCACCCGTGTAAGGCACGACCATGATGGGCGTATGGGTCTGACCCCGCCCGATGTAGACGAACTCGGAGCAGAATTTGACCCAGTACCAGTTGAAGGTGATGCCCTCAATCTGGGGTGATACCTGCTCCTTGGCCAGACTCCGTGACGTCACCTCCGTAAAAGTGCCCTCCTTCTGGAGTGACGTCAGGAAACTGTCCTTTGAGGAGCTGGAAATGCGTCATGTTGTAGGTTTATGATGCGGAGTGATGATGGCGACATGTCATTGCAAGTCATAAGCGTTGTTCAAAAGAACGAGAAACTATTATATTCGCTGTCCAAGACGCAGACAAGGAACTGCCGTTGCGTTTTGTGTCTTTGCCACAGATACTTCATGCATGTCATTTATTTCAGGCACTACCCCACCATTGTTGAACAATCTCTTCAGACCACAGACCTCTCTATACAGAGGTCTTCAGGTTCCTGACCCTCACTTACTCCAGCTTCTTGTAGAACGTGACGACGATGCCGAGGAAGAAATTATTGCCGATGTAGACGCAGACGGTGTTGGAGTGCGGGTCCCACTGCATATCCGAGAAGCAGACGAGCGCTCCCAGGTCGCGGATGGTCGGGGTCACCGTGCGTACGCCGAAATACGTGTAGTGCTGCATTCCTGAGTGGAGAACGATACGCACCTGACGAAGAACGATCAACGAACAGAGATGAACCACACGAGAGGATAATTGCAAATGTTTTCTATTCCTCTTGAATCTCTTCCGGTGACAGGGTAACTTTTGCTCATCGATGAGCGAACCATGTTTTTGGACCTTAAGTCTGTTAATACAATAACCGTATCTCTCTCCCTCTCTCCCTCTCTATTTTTTTCTTTCACCCTCTCTCTCTCTCTCTCTCTCTCTCTCTGTCTGTCTGTCTGTCTGTCTGTCTCTCTCTCTCTCTCTCTCTCTCTCTCTCTCTCTCTCTCTCTCTCTCTCTCTCTCTCTCTCTCTCTCTCTCTCTCTCTCTCTCTCTCTCTCTCTCTCTCTCTCTCTCTCTCTCTCGTCCCTTGTCGACAGAAGGATGTTTTTCTTCAGCATATCCCGATGTCCCGATTGTCTTCCTACGAGAAGATGAATCGTAAACTAGGGTAAAGGTAAAGTGGTGGACGGTTTTCGACATGCTTAAACGGTTTTTTTTTTTGTGTTTCGAGAGATCGGTTTTAATGCACACAAAAAGACCACAATTTTCCTGCGCGTGTCCGGTGTCGACTTGCCTGTTCTCAATATATGTACAGGCAATTAAGATTGAGTGTTTGAATGGGCGTATATAAACGAGACCCACAAAAAGTGGGGAGTGCTACTTAAGTTCTGTACTCTACCACCCGACCGATAAATTCCAAGGATGTTCGGGACCAGGACCGTACACAGCAGAATTTAACGCCAGACTTTTTACATCAAACACGATTATGCTCATCAACTTCACATGTCCTATGACAAGAGTGATGCTACTGGCCGCAGGCCACAGTACCGTCGGGAACAGACGGCGAGAGACGCTGCGGCTCAAAAGGCGCCTCTCTCATCATCGATCAGCCTAAAAGACGGGTGCTAGGCAGTTCTTCTATCACACTTTTGAGAATTTCCTGAGGCGCGAAATGATCGAATGAAAAAAGTTCTCATGTTACTCCGTCGTCATTACATTCCAGTAAGCCAAATAAAATGGATTATTAAAAAGCAGCAGGCGTTCGCGCAGCACAGAGGTATACAGGACGTGAGTATAGCTTTTATTTGTGGGTATACGATTCAGCAAGCTTTATTGGTTTGATCATCAGAATGTCATATATTCGGTGATATTGAGCCCAGCATGCAGGGACATCTGCAGGGACATCTGACACCCAATCACTGCACCATCCCCGGACAGCTCCTAATAGAGCATGTATCTCAGAGATGTCATTGCCCGCATAGCTTCTTCCTTACCTCGCTGGTGGCCATAATGTGATGAGCCGGATTCAGGGTACACATTGGTGCCGAGTTACAGAACCTCTTCACGTATTTGTCCAGGCTCTCCTTGATGAAGCAGAAAGGTCGGTCGACACCCAAAGCCGCTCGGTCTGGGTCGTTCAGACACAGGTTGTGATCGCCGTATAATTTCCGATTCCAGTCGGAGATCTCAGATGTCTGAGGATGGTAAAGCAGATGAGATGGTATTTACTATTACCTGCATAAATTCAAATCCTAGCTCTACCATGAGCCCTACAGCCCTACTCCCTGACATTTCACCTATCCCAGATGCTTTAGTGGGATCCATTTACATCTATAAACGGCTTGAGTCCGACGCTGAGTACTAATTCGTTTGATGCCATTTACTTGACAGACATCATGCGTCTCTGTAGCTGATGTAAAACAAACAAACGAAATAACATTTTAGTTCAGCTGGGGCGTTGAACAGTAAAAACTACACATGAAAATGGCAAATATCTATTCACTTTCTCATGCCAGATTCAAACCTCCCCAATCCTCATCCTCGTTTTTCGTAATTTTCATCCTCTTTCGTCCCCCTCTCTCTCTCTCTCTCTCTCTCTCTCTCTCTCTCTCTCTCTCTCTCTCTCTCTCTCTCGCCTTTGTTGTCTTACTCTTACCTGAGCACATTTCTCTCCGGGAATAAACCCGGTGCTAGTGTTCTTCCCTCTGAACGCTTGTCCGGTAAATGTGCCCCGGCAGTCTTCGTAAAGACAGAGGGGCGGCTGGCAGGGCTCAGCCACATCCCAGTAGCCTCGCGTTCTGGCAGCGAACTTCAGAGCTTCCTGTGAGGTCTGAGGCACGTCGATCGTGCCGTATCTAGAGGGCAGGGGGTTAATGGTGATATTAGTGAAGTAATCTTGAATGGTGAGAGGTGCGTAATTACTAACCTTGCCATGGTCGATGATTTAAGAAGTCACATCGCTGTGATCAGTCATTTCTATATAACTGGCTACTGTTGACAAAATAGTGGCAGTCTGCCCCATTACCTATCCATAGAAGGCTCGCTGTGCCTGAGGTCAATACCTTTTCAATCTGTCTGGAGATCAGGAATGAACAGAATTCATTAGATGAATATCACCAATGGATGTTCACCGAGGTTGATCTGGCTTTGCATTGCACTCAGCCACAAGGTCGGTGGATTAATGTCAGACAGTACATTTATGAATGTAAATGGGAATATTGGTAAAAATGTTGAGCAGCTTTTGCAGCATGGCAGGCTTAACCTTCGCCGGACCTATCAGTTATCTACATACCGAAGGGTGGAAAGTGGAAACGCCCTCATCGTTTTGACTGAGCTAGAGCTTTGCAGAAAAAAAACAAGCGTAAAACTGAGACGCAGAGACTGGTTATAACCGACTTTGTCTCAAGTCAACCGGTGATCTCTGAGCTCAGGTCAAGTGCCCTAAGGTACGTGTGAAGCTTTAAGATATGACATCGAAAACAATATGATATTACAGCGCACGGAAGCGATGACGTGTAACCATACATGGGGTGGAAGCGACGGTGTTTGCTTTGGAGCTCGTGTCGTCGACCGAGGAACTTCCCGGGGACTTGTGTTTGGCCCAGCCCCAGAGCGGCTGTAGCTGTGCAGTGCTGTGTCCAGAGGCGCCTCACAGCACCTGCTGTTAGGCGCAGTGTTGTAGCGTGAGGGCCTCGCATGCTGCGCATTTCGGACGCGTTCGGAACAACCCTTTGTTGTTTGTAAGCAGCGACAGCAAGGCTTAAGGTTTTGATATTTTCCTCGTCATATTGGCTGCTTTAACCCGCGCGGGGCTGGGGGGGGTAAATTTTACCCCCCTCGCGAATTTTTGCAATATCTCAAAAACGGCGGCGCGCAGCGCCGCCAAACTTTCAGTACCTTTTCTTACATCAATTTGACACGTTCCCTGAATATTTGAGCGAAATCCGTCGGAAATTTTTTGAGAAATTGACGTTTTAGTGACGTCATGTTCGCCATTTTCGCCTGAAAAATGGCAAAAGTTCAAACGCCGCTAACATCTTCATTTTTAAAGGAATCAAGACGTAACAAAAAAGGATATACGTAATTCTACTTTGTCTATCAAATGGCTATCTCGGTTTTTTGGAAATTTTGGATTTTGGCCCAAGTTTTTTTCTCAAAAAACTGACTTTTTTGGGAAAATAGCTATAAAATCCAAAATTTTGAGTGTATCGAAAAAATCGGAATATATGTCAGAGAATTGGTCTATGTGCACCTACATACCAAGTTTTAGAAGAATCGGTTCAAAAATGTGGAAGTTATTCAAAATTGTATGACGTCACGACACACAAAAATTTTGAAAAATGACTTTTTTGGAAGTTCTAGACCTCGTACGGAAACAAAAATAGCACCATTCGATTCGCCGTGAAAAACTGCATCAGATAGACACCTTTTTAGGCCTTAACAACCAACTTCAAAATTTGACCTCACTTGACCTGACCTTGACCTGACCTCGACCTGAAATTCATCCAGAGGTGGTCCATATCACTTATTGAGTGTGCCTATTGAATTCTATGAGTAAAATGACCCATAAAACATGTGTCGCACATGCCCTTTTCTATATTTTGTTTTTGGTGACCTGACCTGACCTGACCTGACCTTGACCTTGACCTCTGAATGATATTGTATGCAACGAATATTGTCTTGGTAGCCTAAGAACACGTTTTGGGCGATCAGTCTCAGTCCATGACTCCATTCTTCGGCAACTACGGTGCAAGGCCGATACTGTAGGAACTTGCAATTTGTACCCTTGACCTGACCTTGACCTTGACCTCAAACTTAAAATTAAGTACATGTTTTTAGTTGTTCGTGATGAGATCTTTCGATTGGCGTTTGAATTTTCCAAATCGGACCATTAGTTCGGAAGATAACAGGGGGGGTAAAATTTACCCCCCCCCCCAGCCCCGCGCGTTCGGCTGGAGACCCCAGCCCCGCGCGGGTTAACTGTGATTTGGAGACATTTGTTTTTGACATTTGGTGACATATTTGGAGACAAATGTCCACTCATAAATACAAAATAAGAGGCATCCATAAATGCAGATCAAAATACAATGTGAATGGAAACGAAAAAAAAAACTTTCAAGGCGCCACAAGAGTGTAAAAGGCTCGGATAACATTCTAAAATCTGTATTTTCCTTCATATCACGAACCTGTCGAAAATATTTAGCAACATATCCGTCAATCTCACAAGCACCTTCACGAGGAGGTTGGTTCAAAACTATTCCTCGTAATGCGTCGCATCACATGATCCCTTGTGCTCCAAAAAGCGCGTCTGAAGTCAACACTGAACAGTACAATGACCAGGGGATTTAGGATGGCCCCAGCGCCCGTGCACAAAATCAGTAATGTTATGAACAGGATGCGTGACTCGGCTAGAACGATGCACTCGGTGTTTCGGTTCATCATTTCTCCCACCAGCACATACGAGAACGTCGAACAGAACAGGATGGCGATGAAGGCGGACATCGACACAGATGCTACGATGTCGATCCGACCGCGGGGGCGGGATGTGCGGCGTCCGAGGGGCACAGGAGCCACCGAGGTCGAGGCTCGGACGCCCGTGCTGGTGGTGGGAGCATTCAGTCGCAGCGGCTGCAGAAGGACGCCGTCGCGGCGGATTGGCTCTTCGCGAGTGGCATTTGGGGAATTCTGTGGGTCTTGAATGGCAGGGTGGACCGATGAAGCTGACTGAGTGGGTTCTACAGTGCCTGCTCGTGCAGAAGTAGCATTGGCTGCTTCGGCAGTACCTGCCACAGTAGTGTTTGCCGCGGCAATGCTTGTTGTGGCAATGTTTTCCGCTGGAGCCTTTGTATTTGAATGATGGGCGGCATAAGAAGAGGAGGCTTCCCACGACAAAGGTGGAGAGTCACATCGCTGATTTTCGCTCTCCAGCTTGTTCTCCGCTGTCAATTTGTTTTCATGTGACGGTTGAGTTGTTGAAATATGTGAAGATGCACATGCAACCCTGCCAGTCTGGGTCGCGTCGTTTTCATTGTCTTCCATTCTGTGGATTGCAACAGTGCAATTATTCTCTTCCGCCTCCTGATTCGGTCCTTCTCGTACAATCAGAAACGTAACTACGTACGCGGTTGTCACAGCCTTGGCCAAAGATTGTGACAGCTTGGGAGGGTGTAAACAGTTGAAAAAGTTGTTTAATATGTCTCGTAAATGCTTCATCATTTTGAAGAAAATATTTGTACTGCCAGCCTCGCTTTTTTCGGTTCCAGCTGCAATGGTAGCAGATCCTGATTTATTAATCAATGCCGATGTTCTCCTCGACCGTTGATAAGAAATCTTGAATCTTACCAGAATGCTGACGTAGCAAAATCCGAGTATCAGCACCCCTATACCGTATTCCGAAATGGCAATAACTGCAGTCAGCCAGTCAATGAAGACCTCCACCTTAGCGATAATTACGAATCCGTCCGGGGTCCAGGCCTCGACACAGCGGCATTGACTAGCCGCGTAATTTCGTCTCAGAACCCACTTGACTAGGCTCGGCAGAAGTGCGACTGACACAAAGGCGGCGACATTTTTCCTGCTTGCCGGATAGCTGTGGTTCTTCACCACCATTAGGTACCTCAGAAGCGTGATGATGACGATGGTCATGAAGCTGACACCTCGCGTGATGATGAAGAAAAATACTCTTAGGTAGCACAGCAGGGGGATGGACAGATCTAAATTGATCACCATCAGCACGGGAAGCGCCGTCCACGCGATGTTGTTGGCACAGAGGACCGTGGCCAGCGCGTTGATCACCGTGTGCAGCTTGCGGTTGGCGATGACGACAGCGACGATGATGAGGTTGAGGACGACCGAGGTCGGCACCAGGATGGCCGTCACGGTCACGAGCAGCGAGTACATCCCCAATGCTGGCTCCGTGCCGTCTCGGGCGGCGCAGATTAGACGCGACGGCCCACCGGGCGCGGTAGAGCTCTGGTTGTAGCAGGTCAACCGCTCAATGTGCGGCAGACAGCCGGCTTGGACGTCATCTGGAGCTGCCAGACACTGGGACATGCTGCTCAGGATATGTGTGCGGGCCTTCTGACGGTCTGATCTGTGCAGATATCTGTGAGCAGCTTAGAGGCGCGTCCAACCGACGGTACGGACCGCCTACACAGCACACACAGGCGCGGATACAAGGGGGGGGGGGCCATGGGGGCCATGGCCCCCCCCCCTTGGCCGATTTTTTTCAAAAATAAAATAAAAAGTTAAAAAGTTAAAAAGCTGAAAAGGGGGCCTCCTGAAAATAAAGTGGTCGAAATCCGATGAGTTTTTTTTTTTTAACCTACCCACTTAGTTATTTCTTAGAAGACTAGCTGAGAAGACTTCTTTGTTAGAAGATTGGTAAAGCTTTTCATAACTTGGAGGTCTCTTATACTCACAGAGATGACCACTTTTACAGGGCCTCCTAACCTGCACAGAGGGCCTCCAAGCCTGCACAGATGTTGAGATGTTGCCTGAACAGCTAGATAAGCTCAATAGACGCAGTTTTTTTTTGGGGGGGGGGGCCCAACAAGTGGGAAGATGGGGCCTCCAACAGGTGGGATTATGGGGGGGGGGCCTCCTGGTTTTTAATGGCCCCTCCCTTGGATATTTTCTGGATCCGCCCCTGAGCACACATGCGCGCTGATCTATGTCGGCGATAGAGACATTGATGCCGATCGATGTTGAGCATAAACGCCGGAAGAATTAGCCAAACAGCAAGGCTATAATAATGTTCCATCTGGTCGGCTTTAGCTGACATTTCTCATTCTGGAGAATCTAATATCCATGAATCAACAGAAGCAGGATTAACTGCTATGTTGTCAATAAGCTGTAAAGTTTTTGTTGTAAACCAATTAGTGACAAGTCGTACCAGAACCTATGCGGGAGAAAGGCGCATCTCCAACGTAGGTGCCCGAAAATATAACAACTTACCGCGCGATGTGAGGGGAGCTGTGACCATGGCCGGTTTTAAGCGCGCACTGAGGTCCGCACTCAGTGACACATGAATGTATGATGTGTAGCTGTGCGGGTGTTATCTTGTCACTGTATGAATATTTTATTCATCATATTCTTTTGTCTTTTACTCACCTTTTATCTTTTACCTTTGACGTGATTCATGAAAAGCCTCATCTACGTTGAGGATGCTGTTGAATACACTGATTCTGATTCTGATTCTGTGGTGGGGAGTCCCAAAATTATATTTTGGATTGACTGTCAGGAAACCCCCAACCAAAAAAAGGGGAAAGACAGCGAAAATTTCAATTCAAAATTTTTGTATGTCGTTTAAAGTTGTGTTGTCTTTTCATTTTAGTCTTCTAGCTGCAGAAAAAATAGCATGACTTATGATACTCAAAAGACTGCAATGCGCTGTCATAAAATTGGCATGCTTGATTAATGGTTGGGTATGAGACTATTGAGACTATTAATGGTTGGGTATGAGACTAATGGTTGGGTATCTGTATAAACGAGTTAAAGAAATAACCGAGCGGCACATTTGTAGGTACTGACTACTGGTTCTGGTTTCGAGAGCCGGTTACAAGCAAAGCTAACAGATTGGCGATAACGTTTATATTTAGTCATTGGTGAAGGCGCGCGCTAACTCCCTGTCTAGATAGACTGTACCGCATGGCTGCTTCGTCATGCGGCGCAGTCTACCAGTGCAGGCATTCTCTGCGGCGGAGCTCGCAGTGTGCCTGGCCGGATAAATCCAAATGTAGATCGAGATAAATGTTTAAATGTTCTTTTGACAGCCAGGTGTTTGCAGCGCTCATTGTTACTTTGAAAAAGGCCTAGATTTAGGGCCATTTTCATCTCCGATACATAACATTTTTCAATGAGACCTTTCGAGAATCAGTTTTCCTAAAGTTCTGTGAATTTATTGTCCTGACATTTTTTTGTTGCATCGAGATACATCAGCTTCTATTCGTTCAATAGTCTAATGTAGCTCTTTCTAAGCAGGAACATTGATACAGGGTGTTTCATAAAAAATGTCCTGGTTTTGATTGCATTTTGGGTGCCCTATTAATTGCAATCACGTGTTTTTTTCACTGCAATCGAAAGCACGTGCATGGGAAATTTTCCTCACGCACCTTAGCTCACTTCTCACCATGAAGCATCTGAGTAAGGAAGAAAAAACAAAACTGGTTCAGTTCTACTGGTCGTCACGTTCTATCATTCTAACACAGCGACAGTTTAGGGCTCACTTCAAAACCCGATTCACACCGTGCCCGAAAACAATCCTGCGTTTGCAAGAAAAGTTCCTAAGAGATGGGTCTATCCTCAATTGCTACAAAGGGAAAAGTGGACGGCCAACGACACAAAGGACCCCCGAAAACATCGCCAAGGTGAAGTCCGTAGTCATGGGGACCCCAAGAAGTCCATCAGAAAATCGCCCAAGAAGTTGGCACAAGCCACTCAACGGTGCGGAGAATAATGAGAAAGGACCTCGAACTGTTCCCATATAAAGTGGCAGTGCATCAC